ACATTCAGTGCTGGGTTCTCTGGGGGAAGCCCCATCGGCTCCCCAGAGCTAACTCACCAAAGATAAGGAAAAAGAGGGAACAACCAAGGAGGCGGATGCCACGCGCCCTAAAACAAAAACAAGACAACTAGCAATACTGAAGGACCCTGCAGACAACCCGGGAGACCCAAACCCCGTAACAGGAACGAAAGAAGGAAGAAAGGGAACCCGTGGTCCCATGCCCGTCCACAGCCAGAGAGGCCAAGACGCAAAGACAACGGCGGAGAACCGCAACCAAACACAACACAAAATGCACCCCCCAGCCTGACCACCAATCAACAACAACCCAAAGACCCCCCAGACTGCAGCAGACTCATTCCTCGCCAGAAAAGAAAGAGATTGAGTCAACTGAAGAAACCCACCACCATGACCAAAAGAGCAGAAACACTTGCGCCGGGGAAGAGCATTAAGCTCCCAGACCCAACCCCAAGAGGCCAATGCTAGCAGGAAAAGGAGCCTTGGAAAAACAATCCTTAACCGAAGAGGCCACCACAAACTGAGGAGAAGAGAGAAAGAGAGCACCTGGCCCAAAAACCAGGAAGGCGCAGGTGGCGCATGAACAGGCCAGAGGCATAACAACACATGAGACAGATTGCGGAATGGAGCAAAAGTAACATCAATACCGAACAAAAGCTGGAGCATCCCCACCAGCGCCGCATGATATGAGGTAACAGCATGCGGCATAAGATGACGGTCCTGGAACAACCACAAAAGGAAGGACAAAACAACCCTATCAGAGACCGAAATACACCTACACAGTGACAGGAAAAACCTGAAGGACTGCTGGGAAACTTCATACTGCTGCCGAGACGAAGAACGCAGGTGGGAGATCCCCGCGCTGAACAGTAACAGAAGCGGAAGACTGCACCGGCGCCGAGTCTGACACCACTGGCCTGCCACGATGGGAAGAACCTCGTACAGGCATACCTCAGAATAAGAGTTTAATCCGTTCCTGGAGACGCCTCGCCTTTCGAAAACTCGCATTCCGAAGTTAATTTCCCCATAAGAAATAAAGGGAAATGAATTAATCCGTTCCTGACTACCCCAAAAACCCCACATCAAACTAAATTTTTATACCTAATTTACCTAATTCATCTAAATAAACCTACAAAACTGTGTTCCAGTTATTACTTACCTTGCTGTCGAGTGCTGTAGGCATATGGAAGATGGTGAGGAGGGGGGAGGAGGAGAGGAGTTACTGTTTGGAAGGGGAGTCCCCTTCCATAATCACATCACATAACCCCATGCCTTGTAACACTATGGATACCACTTCTCTTTCTAAATTTTTCAAACCAGCCCCTGCTTGCCTTAAACTCTTTCTTATCTGCATCACTCGTTGCAGGGGTATTCTTTAGAAGGTCTTCGTGCAACACCCTGGCTTTCTCACAAATAATGGCCTCCGAAACACTATCACCCCTCAACTCCTTGTCGTGTATCCAAATTAATAACAACTTTTCCACTTCTTCAAGTATTTGTGGTCTTTGTGCCGTTAATGTTCTTACTCCTTTTGCCACTTTAGCACCCATAATCTTATTTTTCTTCTTAAGTATAGTGCATATTGTTGATGTGGCTTTGTTGTACTGCCTACAAAGTTCAACAACACGTGTACCGTTCTCATGCTTCCGAATGATCTCTTGTTTCTCCTCTATTGTCATCCTCACATGAGCTTTCTGGCCTTTATCCTTACCACTGGCTTTCTTGGGACCCATGGTGAGATATATAATAACAAATTGTATAGACAAATCACCAAAAATCCAACAAAACACTGAAAATCCGCGAGAAGAATTGATGTGGGGGTAGTCACTGAGCGCGAGACAATAATAAACTGAGGGGCGGCGGGGCGGAGGGGCGACGATCGCCGAACCACCACGCGCTAGGTCGGCTGTACGCGTATCAACAAACTCGCGTCCAAACTTGCCTCCCGAAGTAACCATCGCCTTCCGAGACAAATTTTTGGAGTAAATACACCTCGCCTTCCGAAAACCTCGCATACAGGGACAATCGCATTCCGAGGTACCACTGTATACTGGTATGACCCCGACGGTAAGGCCTCTCACGAGCACCTCGGAGGACTAACAAATCCGACACAGGACGGCAACTAGCCAAAGCTGCCGGCAGATATTGCGCAACCGCAGACTCTGCAAACAGCAACGGACAGAAAGGCGAAAACAGTCTAGGAGCCAGGACCCAAGCGGATTCCAAGAATGAAGCAAGCACCGCCTCCCGACATGCGAGTCGACAAGGAAAAAAACACGAAACCGCATCCCGCAGGAGCAGCACGAACAGCTACAACAATGCAAATGACGCACAAACAGCAGTGGGCAATGCACCAAACCCAGAGGCGGCCCCAAACTCCTCCATATACACCTCAAGCCAGTCCAAGGACAGCTCAAAGAGGAAGAAGAAACGCAGGGCCGAAGCCAGCAGGCAAGGCGTATGCAAATCCTCCACAACAAATGCAGCCGAAACGGATGAAACCTGCATGTAAAGCTGCATCACACCAACATCTCACGGAAGGAAAGAGGTGAACAAGCACGCATTGAGATGCTCAAATTCACCCCCAGGAAAACCTGCAATGGCGTCTGAGCCTCCTGCCACTCAAGCGTGCGGGATCGACAGAACGTATGCCATGCCTCCAAAAAGAAGAGGGGCAGTCTGCTAACCAGGATGACTGCGGAACTTCATAACGAACCCAGTCAGGACACAAAGATAAATACACGAATGAATGCAGATCCATCATGAAAGCATAAACCAGGTCACGCAGGAGGTAAGCCACAAGGATGAGGGAAGGGGATGTTCCCTCCAATACTGGGTTTGATATTTACCAGGAGAGACGAAGAGATATTTGACATTCAGTACCTCCCTCCCTCCCTTAGGTAAAAGTGAACATGTCTTTTCGGGAATAATGTATGCAATGCATTATAATCTGGAAGAAAATGAGGTTGAAGCAGTTGAAAAGCCTGATTTCAGGAGAGGTCATTATGGGAAACTCAGACATGTCTTTAAGGAATTTAACTGGAAAGACGTGCTGTTAAGACATGAAGTAAATGAGATGTATGTCAAGTTTTGTGAAATATATGATAAAGGCACAAAAAAATTTATACTAAAGCAGAGATGCAGAACTAGGAAACAGGATTGGTTCGACAGAAATTGCGAGAGGGCCAGAGACCAAAAGACACAAAAATGGAATCAATATAGGAAGAGTCCACACTCCCAAAATGCCAGCGATACAAAGATGCGAGAAACAACTACAGGGCAGTGAGGAGAGAGGCAGAAAGAAATTTTGAAAAAGGGATTGCAGACAAATGTAAAATAGAACCAGATTTATTTTATAAATTTATAAACAACAAATTTGAGGTAAAGGATAATATTCAGAGGTTGAAAATGGGGGACAGATACATGGAAAAATGACAAAGAAATGTGTAAAACATTAAATGAAAAGTTCCACAGTGTGTTTGTACAAAATGAAATCTTCAGGGAACCAGACACAATAAGAATTCCAGAAGAGAGCCAGGAGAGACGAAGTGGAAAAAATGCTCAAGGAGCTAAGTAAGAACAAAGCAGTTGGTCCAGATAGAGATTCATCATGGGTTCTGAGAGAATGTGCACCTGAGCTCAGCATTCCACTTCAACTGATTTTTCAGGCATACCAGTGTACAGGAGTTGTAGCTGATGTGTGGAAAAAGGCTAACATAGTTCCAGTCTACAAAAGTGGCAACAGGGAAGACCTCCCTCAATTATAGACCTGTATCATTGACAAGTGTAATAGTCAAAATATTGGAAAAAATAATTAAAACTAAATGGGTAGAACACCTGAAGAAAAATTATATAATATCAGACAGATAGTATGGTTTTCGATCTGGAAGATCCTGTGTAACGAATTTACTCAGTTTCTATGGTCGAGCCACAGAGATTTTACAGGAAAGAGATGGTTGGGTTGACTGCATCTATCTGGACCTAAAAAAGACTTTTGACAGAATTCCACATAAGAGGTTGTTCTGGAAACTTGAACATTTTGGAGGGGTGACAGGTAAGCTTCTAACATGGATGAAAAATTTCCTGATAGTAAAATGAGGGCTGTAATCAGAGGCAATGTATCTGATAGGAGGAATGTCACAAGTAGAGTACCACAGGGTTCAGTTCTTGCACCAGTAATGTTCATTGTCTACATAAACGATCTACCAGATGGAATACAGAATTATATGAACATGTTTGCTGATGATGCTAAGATAATAGGGAAGATAAGAAACCTAGATGATTGTCATGCCCTTCAAGAAGACCTGGACAAAATAAGTATATGGAGCAACACTTGGCAAATGGAATTTAATGAGAATAAATGCCATGTTATGGAATGTGGAAATGGAGAACATAGACCCCACACAACCTATAAATTATGTGAGAAATCTTTAAAGAATTCTGACAAAGAAAGAGATCTAGGGGTGGTTCTAGATAGAAAACAGTCACCTGAGGACAACATTAAGAACATTGTGCGAGGAGCCTATGCCACGCTTTCTAACTTCAGAATTGCTTTTAAATACATGGATGGAGAAATACTGAAGAAATTGTTCATGACTTTTGTTAGACCAAAGCTGGAATAAGCAGCGGTTGTATGGTGCCCATATCTTAGAAGCACATCAACAAACTGGAAAAGGTGCAAAGACATGCCATTAAGTGGCTCCCAGAACTGAAGGACAAGAGGTACGAGGAGAGGTTAGAGGCATTAAATATGCAAAAACTAGACGATAGAAGAAAAATAGGCGATATGATCACTACGTACAAAATAGTAACAGGAATCGATAAAATTGATAGGGAAGAATTCCTGAGACCCAGAACTTCAAGAACAAGAGGTCATAGATTTAAACTAACGAAACAAAGCTGCCGGAGAAATATAAGAAAATTCACTTTTGTAAACAGTGGTAGACGGTTGGAACAAGTTAGGTGAGAAGGTGGTGGAGGCCAAAACCGTCAGTAATTTCAAAGCAATGTATGACAAAGAGTGCTGGGAGACGGGACACCACAAGCGTAGCTTTCATCCTGTAACTACACTTAAGTAATTACAGTACACTTAGGTAATTACAAGGGCTTCCCGCACAACATGGGACGGGATGCACGAAGCAGAATACCTCTAGAAGGACGGAACCAAAGAACTGTCGGGGTCACAGAACCAAACCCAGGAAGAGGTAGACGCGAAATCCAAGTCCTAAGAGGAGGGAGTGAAAGTCACCTGAGGACAGGCCTGCACCCTACTCCTTGTAACACCAAGCCTGACACCGAGGGTATAAAAACCCATGTACAGTCCAAGGGGGCCCAAAGCCCCTACAAGTCAACGCCCTGAGGACCAAGGGCCGAGCCGCCCTCCAAACCCCCCGCCTCTAAAGAAAAGGCAGGAGTCACCGAAAAAGCAGGAATGAAGGGGGCCCGCTGGTCAGACCCAGAAGCTCTGGCTAGAAGACTAGGCTCGAATGCCTCCGCCACCACACCAGAAGGGGATTACCCCAAGGCCACCCGAATCTCAACACCATCTACACCCTGCCCTAACCCTAAAACCCTCAGACGTTTCGGGGCCGGAAGCAAGGGAAAAGGAACCTGATGCACAACAGAAGGGAAAAGACATGGAGGGGTGAACGGAAACAAGGTCGAAGCAACTCCCACCCCTATGTTAGGGTCCCTAAACCCAAAATGGGGCATCTGGGGAAGCAACCAACCTCTTGCATTGCAGCAACCTGAACCTAGCAACGCAGCTGCTGCCTGCACCCTCATATCACGATCAGTAGCTTGGGTGAACTGGAGCAGGTACAAACAACAAACGTCGCACGACTCCAGGTCAAAAGAATCACTGACCCTACAGGCAGCATGGCAGAGGCACAACCAGTGATTATCACCCTGAGATAAGGGAACGGAGCAACCATCAACCTCACATGAAGCGAGAGGAGACTCAAGGGTCACATCCATCAGACCATAGAGCCCCCATGGGGCTTCCCAGGTCCCTTAGCCTTGATAACACACTAAGGGAAGCCTAGGCAGGGTACTGCAAACCGGCGCCCAAGACTACCAAGCAAACTTCTAAAAGCTGAAGCCCCGGGATGTATCTCTCACGGAGGCCTAGCAAGGAATGCCACCAAGAATACAGATATTTATATGTATACCTTAAATATAGTTGGGGGCAACCAAACAAAGGCAGCCCCCCCCACCTGGCAGGAAAACAAAAACAAAAGTAAAACCCCGCAAAAGGACAATGTACCAAGGCAGAACAGAGCCGGCTGCTATAAGAGGTGATAACTAACTGTGCAGTATTCTGTGCCCCTACCAGTGATGAAAACTACTCTCTCAAAACTCCAGCTGACTCCAAGGGCGGCCAAGTACCGAGCAGTAAAAGACTCAGCGGAGGTAGGCCTCAAGGTGACTTGTGGAAGGGGGGCCCAAGCCCCAAGGGCAGTACTTTCAGGGCACCTAGGGAAGCAAACCCTAAGCGCAGGCAACCCGAGCACCAAAAAATAATACTCCTGGCTCGCACACCACCAGTAGAGACAGTCCATGCCGCAAGGCAAACGGAGAAAATCTGGAGCCAGAGGCCCATGACCTGCCAGTATCACATCAGCCAAGAACTGAAGGGCGGATTGCCGGCATGAGGGTCTGGGGCTTCTCTTTCCTCCTCCCGGGAGGGCAGTGGGGGGTTGCGCAGACAGCGGCTCAACAACATGATGAAATCATGCTTGTTTGCTAATTTTCATTTGGGGAGTTCTGCCCACTCTTTCAGAAGCAATATTTTCACCAGAATAGGGGGTTTGTTTTGGGGCGCCTAGCTTTCTGGATGTCAGACCTGGACGATGGCAGACATAGAAAGCACCCAACCACACAGGGGTTTATATAGGCAATTGCTCCTAGTGCCTCTCTGAGGGGGGGGCCAGGTTCTGGCTCATGGTCCCCATAGGCAAGAACTTCATGCACATTGAGTGATGCCAAAAAGCTAATATATCCATATCAACCTGGATAGTTCCGGGGAGCTGACGGGTCTTCCCCACAGAAAAAAGTTAAAAAAAGAAAAAATAATAAAAATTCACAATTTCAAATTAGTTATAAAAATATTAAAATGTAACCAATTGTTATTTTATTCATTATGGTGTCAGAATGGCATATAACGTTCATGTTCCTTGTAGCAAAATATTGTTTGAGAGTGTATTTTATTGTAAAACATTTTTTCAATGTGGCCATTCAAATATGTGCAGAATTTAGACGAAACAATTTATAACTCCAAACGTTATGGTTTATGATTAAACGATAAAATAGGTAAATATGCAAAATGTAAAAAAAAACATGTAAGAGTGGTGGGAATTGGTCAGAAACTGAATTATTTTATAGGTCTCAGAGTTGAAATTCCTGTTTTAGAGATAATACTCCCACATAAATATGGTGGGACTGTGGTTTAAAGGAACTATTTCCTCCATTCCTTCCCCCTGTCCCATCCCAAATCCTTATCCCTTCCAAGTGATGTATAGTCATAATGGCATGGCACTTTCTCCTGAGTTTCCTTCCTTTCCAGACCCCTTCTACAACAGCAGGATTTTCACTGAACATAAGAGAACTAAATTTGACAATTACCAACTGAATATTTTTTATAATTTCTTTCCTATAATTGTTGTTTTTATTAGTGATAATAACAATATTTTTTATTTTTACTGTATTTTGAAAATCAAATTATTTGGAAAAAGTATCATTTAAAAGTTTTCTTCCCTGCAATTTAGACATAATCATGATTAATCACTTGTCTACTGTGCTAGGATCTTCAACCAAAACAAAACACTTCCACTGCATTAGGGGGTTAATTTCACTAGAGTCCTACTGAATAAATGTGGAAAGAGCTTATACTGTACTATAAAACCCTTGACCCTAAAGAAAATATTTGTCAGCATTGTACCCAAAGAGCACAGCCAATACACCAGTTGTACACGCAGCACACATTCACAATGTTATTTACAATGGCAAATGATTTCTGCTGGCAATGTTTGTATGAAGCAGCATTTCAAAGTTGTGTACAAGTGACCAGTCTACTGGGTATGGAGATTGTTCAAGATACCGTCGAATATCCATCATGGCACGCCGAACAGAGCCTTCCGTTACCATATCTGGTGCAGGAAGAAAATTATTTGGCTGGTGATTATCCATTTTGTATTGGTGTAAGAGTCTTTCTGTTGAGGAATAACTGCCTTGTGGAGCCGTCTGCGCTGGCACTGTATGATCACGAGAGCTTGAAATCACTCCACGATTCATCGTGTTTCCAGTAAAGATTTCTCTGCCACCAGAAAGATCTGGAGTATATATATGTGATCCTAAAAATTTGTTTGCTGCTGCAACGGACGAAAACTGCTGACCCCCTCCTGTGGGAGGAACTACATTATTTCCTGCCTGCACTGCTGACAATTCTGCTGGGTTCATGGGCCCTCTGGAGAAACCATCATAATTAACAATGGATTCCTGTGTTGAGGGTGGAACAGGAAACCCAAACATATCTCTACTGTATGTATTGTTCATTGTCTGTGGATTTGGTGGTGGTTTCATTGTGTTAGAGATGATGGGCGGATTTTGGATAATGCCCATGTGGTTGCCAGTATTGTGGTGCTCTTGATTAAATTGAAAACGAATCTGCTGTTTGTGCTCAGTGGTATATTGAATACCATTTTCAGTTGGGACTGTTGGTGTATGATGCTGTTGATCCTCCTTATCTTCATTCAAGCCATGTTTCCTCTTCCATGTATCAAGCCACGTAGAAGTGGGAATGAAATCAACTTTTCCCATTATATCAGCCAGCTCTTTAGCTTTCTGCCGTAGGATAGGGCCTGTGAGTGGAATACTTTTATCTTTTACTTCGTTGTACCATTTAAAAAGAGCTTCTTCCACTTCAGAAGCAGACCCTTTTCTCATACGTTTCCGATCCACTGATGGATCACCATAGAATGCTTTAAGGATTGTTTCTTTGTTCTTTTTTATAATACTAAGCGTAGATTTGGATACATTATACATATCTACCCATTCTCTTAACTTAACATTAGGTTCAGCTTCCATATGGTGAATTATTTCCACTTTCTGTCGTAATGAGAGAGATGTACGAGTTTCTTTTTCATATGCTGTGTGGAATAGCTGCATATCACCATCGTCATATTCAGAGGGATGGACATTTTGCGTCTCTGTTCCATCATATTGTTTGGGGCGTCCACAAGTTACATTATTCCGTTTCTTCCAGCGTGAAAACCACCCTTCCGTTGGAACAAACTCTGGCTTTCCCAGTGACAGAGCAATAGACTTTGCTTTCTTTCTTAAGATCCCTGCAGTAATTGGTAAATTTTTCTCTTTGACTTTTAAGTACCAAACATACAGAGCATCCTCAATATCAGGAGCTTTCCCCTTCTTGTTCCGTCTTCGTTCCTTATCTGGGCTGTTCATGTAATTTTTAATGATAAAATCTCTGTTTTTCATCATATGGAGCATTGTGGTTTTAGGCACATCAAAGAAAGAAGCCATATCACGTAGGCTCCATTTCATAGGTAAACTTTCTATGGCTTTTACAATCTCAAATTTCTGCCTTAAAGTTAAAGTTTGTCTTTTGATTCCTTTTCCAGATCGGCGAATAAAATTATCAGTTTCTTGAAGGCTAATATGTAATAGGCTACTAATATCTTGAGCTGTTGGAGATGATGTGCCATCATCTTCATCTTGTTCAGACCCTTGATCATCATCCATGTCAATGTCATCACCTTCATCTTTAATATCATTTGAATCAATTGTTATTTCAGCATCACTTCCTTCACAATCACCACTTCCATTTTCATTACAACCTTCACAATTTAATTCAATGGAAAAAGTTATATTATGCCGTTTTTTCCATCTCTCCAGCCACCCGGTTGTTGGTCGAAAGCTGTAACTTCCTTGTGACACAGCAAGGTCTCTGGCTTTTTCAAACAAAATAATATTTGAAAGAGGTAGTTTCTGTTTTTTAGCATTTTTATACCACTGATAAAGAGCATGTTCAACATGGGGAGCCTTTCCAGATCTTAATCTTTTTCTTCTTCCATTTGGATTGCGTTTATAAGCTTCAATAATTCTATCTCTTGCCCGCAAAATATTAAAAAGAGTATTACGAGGTATTCCAAAATGAATTGCCATTTCTCTATGAGATATTTTTCCTGGGAGTTTTTCAATTTCTTGCAAAATTTCTACCTTACGTTTCCATGTAATTTCTGCTCGACGTTTAGGTTCAACCTTCTTCTGAGATTGCATCAGCAAACGCACCTCCTCTTCAATTGAGCAATCATCGGATAAATTGAGAACAATTGTACCATCTTCGGTGCCATCTTCTGGTGTATTTTCTTGATTCTCTTCCATACTCCGAGAGACTGCATCCCCCTCTTTATCTATCTCCATCTTGAAATAAACTGGAAAAAGAATATACAAAAATCACAACTCCAGAATTGTACTGGCTCCTTCTACACAATGTGTAGAAGGACATTCATTCATTCATACTCAAAAATGCTTACCTGAGTAATTCTTTTTGGCTGCGCCTTAATTAAGATAAGATTAATTGTGTGTAATGGACAGGATCAAACAGACAACATTCTGGCACTGTGCCTCAATGCCAATAGTGACTGCCCAGACAGGTACAAGAGAAGTGTTGTCAACGCTTACGTCGACAGTGTTCTCAGCCACAGCTCAGGATGGAAAGAAGTCGATGAAGAACTCTGTAGCGTAAGGCAGGTCCTAGTCAACAACGGCTTCTCTAACGGTTTCGTTGAAGACATCATAAAAAGAAAGGTGAAACGCCATGGAACCTCTGAAGAGTCAACCAACACACCACTTGTATTCCCCTATTAGACTATTTTACAGGAACTTCTTTTCGACGGCTCATAAAACGGAGGAAAGGGTCCTGAAAGATATTGTTGATAGGAACGTCATCCGTACAGACAAAAATGAGAAAATACAATTGATAAATTATTATAAAAAAAAACAAAAAAACGGAGGCTCCCTGGAGCTTATCGGGCTAATGTATGTTATATTAGACCGGGACATTTGCTAAGGAATTCAGACCTACCAGGGACCAGCGCCAGAACCTGGCCCCTTCAGAGACGTTTCAGGGAGCAGTGGTCCTGGAAAACCCACTTGTGGTTGGGGGTGTTCCTTATCTGCCATCGACCAGGGTTAGCACCCAGAAAGGTAGGCATAACAAAACAAACCCCACATGGTAAAAAACTAAAACAAAAAAATGAACAGAGGTGTAGAAACTCCCTACAATCCCAAGGAAACAAGGAAACAAGCAAAACATCACACTTTACTGCTGCGCCGATCGTCTGCGCAGCCCTTCCCCGCCCCAAGAGGGGGAGGGGGGAGCCCCGGACCTACCGCGCCGGCTGCCTAGCATCAGTTCGGAAACTAAGCTTCAACCAGCACGAAAAAACCAGCATTGAATGTAATGAAACGCCATTTTCTGGGTGAGTCCCGGAGGCTCCCCGGAGCTATCCATGGCTGATATGGATACCCTAACTTTTTGCATCAGTCGATGTGGGTGGAGTTCTAGGCCTACCGGGGACCACGAGCCAGAACCTGGCCCCCTCAGAGAGGCACGGGGAGCAATGGCCCATAGAAATGCACATGTGATTTGGAGCATTCTATATCTGCCATCGACCGGGACAGGCACCCAGAAAGGTAAGCGCCACAAAACAAACCCCTATTCTGGTTAAACAACAAAAATCGACAAACGAGTGGACAGAACTCCCCCAGGAAAATGAACTAACAAGTATGATGTCACGCGAGCCGCGCCGCATGTCTGTGCAGCTCCCCCCTCCCTGGGAGGGGGAAGGGGAGCCCCAGACCCCGCGCCGGCGATCCCCGCCCCAGTTCTGAGGCTGGATATCAAAACCGTGAAAAAAACCCGCCGACCGGAGGGCGGGAGGGTGCCGGGGAGCCTCCGGATCTCACCCAGAAAATGGCGTTTCATTACATTCAACGCTGGTTTTCTGGGGGGAGCCCCTACGGCTTCCCGGAGCTACCTCACCAAAGACTACCTGGTTGATACCTGGTTGATGGGGTTCTGGGAGTTCTTTTACTCCCCAAGCCCGGCCAGAGGCCAGGCTCGACTTGTGAGAGCTATCAAACAAACAAGGGGACATACGCAGGAGGCGGTCGGAGAATCACTCCACAACACGAAGTCAAGACAACAACCCAAGGTATAGCATTCGCCAGAAAAAAGGGAGAACGGCCGCAGACGAAGAAAACCTATGATCACGACCATAGGAGCCAAAAACCACTGCGCCTGAGAAGAGCAAGAAGCTCTGCCACACGGCCCCCAGAGGCGAATGCCAACACAAAAAGAAAACCAAGGCAAAGCAAACCTGACCCCAAGGAGCCACAACCACCAAGGAGAAGAAAAACAGGAGAGCACCCTGTCCAAAGACCAAGACGACACAGGCAGTGCATAAGCAGGCCGGAGGTGTAACAACGCCCGATACAACCTGCGAAACGGCGCAGAAGGAATATCGATACCGAAGGCTAGCAGCAGAAACCAAGGTGCCAGACCCAGGAACGGCCCCAAGCGCCTCTACAACCTCCGCAAGCTAATCCTATGACAGCCCCAGGAGGGAAAAGAAAACGCAGGGCCAAAACGAAAATGCCACAAGTGTGCAAGTCCACCTCCACAAGTGCAGCTGACAGGGGAAGGAACTCGCATAAGGAGCCGCCCCGCACCAACATCCCGCAGAAGGGCAGGAGCAAAAAGACTCATTAAGAGGAGCAAAATTGCTCCCAGGAAAACTAGTAGCGCCGCGACAGCGCAAAGAGAAGAGATATTCACAAAAGAACAAAAAGGCCAACACCCAGAAGCTGCCGGAAAGAGGACCCACAAGCCCTAGAAAGGCCCGGAGGGAAGCCCAATCAAATGATGACAGACGCACCAGAAAACGGGCACAATGGACAAGGAACCAAGCCCAGGGAGGGGCCGACGCCCACAAAGCACGTGCGGAGAGGGGGAACGGAAAACCCCACACCACAAAACTGCAAGTCCCTCCCAGAGGGGTAGAAACACCCCGGCGGGGACCAACGGGGCCTGAGGCCCTCACGTGAGCCCCACCCCAGCCCCGAGAACCCACCCTACAGGCCCCGGGGCCGAGCTGTCCCCTCAAAGCCAAAGCGTCAAGAAAAACCCCGTGGCAGCCGTGAAAAACACGAAGGAAGGGAGCCCACTAGGCTCTGGAACTTGAACCGAAACCGGAGGATAGGCGAGGGGCGAGATGAAGACCCCAAGCTCATCCCCAGCCAGCACAATGAGGCAAGGACAAGACAGAGAATCCAAGGAACATGGAAAAACCAGGCCCGGCACAGCAAGACCGGCAAGGAAGGAGAGCCCCAGAGGGAGCACGGAAGGGCCGAACAGAACGCCACAACCAACCCAGACACGCAGCTGCAGTACCAAAACCGCAGCAAAATGTAACCACACTCCCAGAGGAAGCGACAGAGAAGATAGATAAATCGTACACAAGTGGCACACAAGGGGACACAGGCGGAAACCGAGCACCCAACTGAGCCACAGGGACGGTAGAAGAAACGTGTGCAGTGTAACAGGCAATCAAAGGAACACAGTAGGCAGCCCAACATGGGCTGACCCCTTACACAGCCCCAAGAGCAGAGATGAGAGTGCCCAAGAAGCACAGAATCCGCCCGACAGGCAAACGACAGGGGAGTGGCGGAAACAAAGAGCCAGAACCCAACCTGCAAGCACAAGGAGGCGAACACAAAACCTCCGACACAGGAAAACGTACTACCAAACAGGCACCCCCACCGTTGCACTGCGGAACAAGGTGGAGGCAAGGCCCCGAACTCAAGCAAGGTTAGACAAGCATAGGAGAGGGGCAGGAGGAGTACAGGCAGGAACCGCCTCGGAAGGGACAAGAGGCCACCCGCAGACACCCGTGAACCGAGGAAGGAATCAGGTGGAGAGAGCAAGAACTGCCCAGTATGGGCTAATAGCCCTGCAGTAGGCACCTCGGGTGATACGGTCCACGTTCTCAAGGACGTATGTACACCCATCCCTACTCCCAAAAACAAAAACAGCTTCAGGACGAAGGAGACGCCAAAACCGCTCCAACTCACCCGCAGAACATAGGCACTGAAGGGCCATGACGCATGCGTTCGAGTCCGTATCCGCCGGAGGCGGCCAGTGCGCCCATGCTGGAGAGGAGGGGAGCAGCGAACGAGGCTCCCCACCCAAGAACGCAGGGAAAAACCACATGATGTCCCCACAGCGGCACTCCTACTCCATGCCAAAGCAATGGGGCACGGATTGGATTAAGAAAAGAGCGAGAGGCGAAGCCCCCCGAGAGAAATGGAAGCAGAACACGTGTGCACACCGCCCGGAACTAAAACAAACACCCATGGCGCATGCGCAGGACGCGAAAGAAAGTAGCCCAACAGGGCGAGAAGTAGCCCAACCAGGCGAAAAGTAGCCCAACCAGGCGCGAAGTAGCCCAACCAGGCGAGAAGTAGCCCAACCAGGCGCGAAGTAGCCCAAGGCGAGAAGGAGCCCAACCAGGCAAGAAGTAGCCCAACAAGGCGAGAAGTAGCCCAATAAAGCGAGAAGTAGCCCAACAAGGCGAGAAGTAGCCCAACCGGCTACAAGGAGCCCAACCTGTCCAGAACAAAAGGAACCAGTATGGAGGCAAACTCCGGGACACGCAGGAGGGAAGCCACAAAGGCCAACCGCACCGCAGGCGAAGGGATGCGGTTAGTCGAAAACCTCCTGAAGACGGAACCGAAGAAACCACAGAGACACGGAACCGAACCCGGGGAGGAGCATAACCCAAGCCCAAATCGTACGCAGAGGGGGGAAAGAAAACCCCACTCCTCGCAACAGTAAGCCCCGCTCAGCAGGACTGAAATCCAGGCGGGGTGCAATGGAGCCGAAGGCCCCCAAGGCCGCTCCTCCCCAACCCCAGGAGCCACTGCACCAGGCCCCGGGGCCGAGTCGACCTCCAAAGCCCCGGCCCCACAAGAAAAAGCCGGGGCAGCCGAGAGAGCTGAAAGTGAAGGGGCACACTGGTCAGACCCCGGAGCATCGGCCGGAGGAACAGACTCGAATGCCTTAGCAGATACCCCAGACGGGGCAACCCCCGAAACTGCCCAAGTCTCAGAACCTCTAACCCCGCCCCGACCCCGAAGCCTGCAGATGCGTAGGGGGCCGGAAGCAGGAGGGCGAAAAACAAGGGGGGCGTGGAAGAACCAAGGCCGAAGCGACCAAAACCCCCAAGACTGGGTCCCTACACAAGCGGGGCAGCATCGGGGCATCCGGGGAAGCGACAAACCAGAGCGCTTTGCAACATCCTACCCTGCAACGCGCGAGCTGCCTGCACCCGCGGGAATTCATCAGCAGACTGGGTGAATGGAATCACGAACAAGCAACAAAGCTCGCAGGACTCAGGGTCGAATGTGTCACCGACCCAACAGGCAGCATAACGGAGGCAAAAATAAGGAGAGTCACCCTGAGACAAGGGGACAGAGCAACCCTCAACTCGCACAAAGCGAGAGGGGATGCAAGGGTCTCCACTACCGGACCCGAGAGCCCCCGGGGGGTTTCCCAGGGCCCCTAGACTGGGGCTGCTAAGGGTTATCCCAGGCAGGGCACTGCTAACTGGCGCCCCAAACTACCAAGCAAACTGCTAAAGCTGAACCCACTGGACGTGTCCACTCGTGAGGGCAAAGCAGGGGGTGCCACCACATAAACGAACCTAATATAAGGGGAGGGGAACACAAGACAGACCCCCCTACCAGGCAAAAACAAATATAAAAGAAAAACCACACAAGTGGACAACGTACCCAGAAGGAACAGAGCCGGCCGCTGTCATAGGTGAAAACTAGCTACGCAGTACCCTGCACCCCACCAGTGCTATAACTACCACTTACCCCAAGGTAAACAAGTGAGTAAAACCCCCAAACCCTCGGGGCGGCCAAACGCCAAGCAGCGAAAAGCCAACAGAGGTAAACCCAAGGTGACTTGTGGAAGGCAACCCCAAGCCCCAAGGGCGGTACTTACAGGGCACTCAGGGAAGGTGACCCTAAGCACATGCAGCCCGAGTACCTGAGAATACTACTTCCAGCTCACACGACCACCGTAAGAGCAGCACTGCAAACAAGTCACAGCAGAGACAAGACTGGAGCTGGAGCCACACGACCGTGCATTATCCCATCAGCCGAGGAACTGGGGCGGGGATCGCCGGCGCGGGGGTCTGGGGCTCCCCCTTCCCCCTCCCGTGGAGGGGGGAGCTGCGCAGACATGCGGCGCGGCTCGTGTGACGTCATGCTTGTTAGTTCGTTTTCCTGGGGGAGTTCTGTCCACTCGTTTGTCGATTTTTGTTGTCAACCAGAATAGGGGTTGGTTTTGTGGCGTTTACCTTTCTGGGTACCTGTCCCGGTCGATGGCAGATATAGAATGCTCCAAATCACATGTGCATTTCTATGGGCCATTGCTCCCCGTGCTTCTCTGAGGGGGCCAGGTTCTGGCTCGTGGTCCCCGGTAGGCCTAGAACTCCACCCACATCGACTGATGCAAAATAGTTAGGGTATCCATATCAGCCATGGATAGCTCCGGGGAGCCATAGGGGCTCCCCCCAGAAAAAAAAAAAAAATTCCAGAGAATTTATTTCCTGCGCACTGTGGGGGTATCATATTTGGAGGCAACGCAGTTAAGTGGTTAAACATAAACTTACCTTATCTTAACTTCAAATGCTACTTAGTTTTAAACTGATTTTGTGTTTGATAATTAAAATGAAGTGATACTTGATGAGAATTAGAAGATGGATGGCAAGGTATATCCTAAGTGAACCTATTAATCCTAACAGTAAAAGTTTAAATTATGTGGCTTTGGAAGATGCATTTTAAATTAAAGATCTTTTCCTTACTAATTCACTTCTTCCTAGGGATAGTATATCCCTTGACATCTGGATAGAGATTCATTGCCAGAACTCCCACAGTTCAAGTTTCTGCAAAAAAGAATTAAATATTAATATAATATTTAAAGACAGAAATTACTCTTTTGAGTTTCTGAAAAGCCTATCTCAGCAACTTTATACTTCTGCTCCCAAAGGTATGAAGATTCTCTACACTTTTGCCAAAGTGATGGCACAGTCAAATGTGGGGGTCATTGGGGAATAAGCCACCCAGACAGGATAACATATTCAGAAGGGTCTCTTCTCAATCAGAATAAACAGATTCCAATGATATAATGTACATGATTGTCAAAGAGAGCCCAAACTAGCTTAATAGAAATTATAACACACCTGCATAGAGCCCTCAGTTCCCACCAAGTAGCAGCACCACAGCAAGGAAGAACTTGTCCAAGTCTATCGTCCCCACATACATCCTGGCACAAAACAAGAGTACAGGTTAGAGAGTGTAGGGCCAGGGTGTGGCAGCATAAATTTGCTCAGAAAGGGGCTTATTGCAAGTTCAAAGAATAATGCCTGAATCTCAATTGCAAGCCATCTCACTAGAGCGAGAACTGGAGAAGGGGTTACATATGTTGAAGTGAGGATCACAGCAGCTGCAAACCCAGTGAGCATGTCCACTACAAAGACATTTGATACCATGGACCCAAAGAGTGTAGTATTATATCACTGGATTTCAGTCTACCAAGGACCCCACAGTAGCAACTCAGCCAGGGGTGCCTTAGGTTGGTAGTAAGGAGCAAATGTCCTATTCAATCACCAAAATCCTCAAGATCAAATCCCTCTTGCAAGATATCATAGAGAAGAATGCTTTAGTATATGCTGCAAACTTTCTTGGATCATGGGCCCCAAAATATGTTTGTGACTGGCTTAGCTTAACTGGACAGCGGATAAGTTTTGAAGCCATTAGTAAAGAAGCAGAGTAACAAGATTCTTAGTTCAAGAGGAGTTTCTCTGATGAACACCACCTAGAAGCCAGTTTTGATTAAAATGGATGGACTTGGATGGATCTTAAGAAATAAATCCCCCTATTCAAAATATAGTAACTCAGACAGAAGGAAGGAGTGGGGTTTCTTTGTCCTACTTTCCAAGGTTAAATCAACAAGAAAGACTACCTTAAAAACAAAGGCAAAACAGCCCAGCAGGGGTGACAAAGGCTACACAGGGAATTTCAAAAAATCAAAGCAACTGAAGGAATTGCCTGGAGAACAACTCCCTACAAAAGGGTAAAACTGGAATTGCAGAAGAAAAACCAACTCCCCAGCACAAAATTAAAAAAAAAGAAAACCCACATACCACCTGAACCCAGACACTGGGTATACACCCTACAAGGAAAACAGGAAAATCCCAGCTTTGAAAATAATGAAATGCCACTTTCTGGAGGGGGGCCTCTAGTGGTTCCCTGAAACTATCTTCCTGAGATTGCTTCATACTAAAAGGTCACATCAGTTGCAGATAGTTCTGTTTGGCCTATCGAGGAGCAGAGCCAGAACCAGTCCCCCATCATAAGAGGCACAGGGAGCAGTTAACAATCCACCAGAAAAAGCCTCCTCAAAGTCAACACAACTTTACAGACAATTGGAGGGTTCACAGAAAATGAAGCCTTGAAAACTGCTAAACAATATTTGCAAACGAGTCACACGGAACCAGGAGATTCACTCAAACGAGCTTGAAACTCATTAGTACCAATAATCACCACCAGGTGGCTTGGCTCCCAACTGGCTCCCTAAGTCAGTTCTGGATCTGAAGAACAAATTTACGATGAACCCAGAGGATGGCAGGGCCACCGGGGCTCCTCCAGAAATTGGTTTAATTTTATTCAATACATGTACAGTACTTGAATATAATGAAAAGCTGGGGAGTTGTTTTCCCTTCTGCAGTTCCAGTTTTTCTCTTTTGTATGGAGTTGTTCTCCAGGGGATTCCTACAGTTGCTTTGGTTTTCTGAAATTCCCTGTGTGGCCTTTGTCACCCCTGCTGAGCTGTTTTGCCAATCTTCCCAGTTCTTTCTCTGTGGATAATTAGCCTCACAAGGAAAGCTAATAATAGTCACAAGGGACTTTCCCCCCAGAAAACAAGCATTAAATGTAAAAAAAAAAAAGCATTGAATGTAATGAAATGCCATTTTCTGGGTGAGTCCCGTGGCTCCCTGGGCTATCCAGGTTGATATGTATATCCGTAAACTTTGGCATCAGTCAGTGTGAATAGAGTTCTAGGCGTACCGGGAACCATGAGCCAGAACCTGACACCCCCCCCCCCCCTCAGAGAAGCATGAGGAGCAATGGCCTATAGAATTGTACATGGGATTTGGAGCATTCTATATCTGCCATCGACCAGAACAGGCAACCAGTATGATAAGTGCCTCAAAACAACCTCCTATTCTGGTGAAAACTAATAAAATAGAGGAACGAGTGGACAGAACTCCCCAAATGAAAACGAGCAAATGAGCAAACGAGCATGACGTCACACGTGCTGCACCGCATATCTGTGCAGCTTTCCCCTCCCTGGGAGGGGAAAGGAGGGGCCCCAGACCCCCGTGCCAGCGATCCACCCTGCAGTTTTGAGGCTGGATTTAAAAAATACGTGAAAAAAACATCGACCAGAGGGAGGGAGAGTTGCCAGAGAGCCTCCAGGACTCACCCAGAAAATGGCGTTTCATTACATCCAACGCTGGTTTTCTGTGGGGAACCCCTTCCACTCGCTGGAGCTACCTAACACACGACAAGTAAAAGAGGGACTTACCTGCGAGGCAGCCACCACGTGCTCATCAACTCGATGTCGAGACAACTGGCTGCAACCTGCAACCCAAAGCCACATAAGAACAACCGGGACCAGGAACGTTTACCAAATAATGAGCGGCCAAGACCCTGTTTGACCTCCAAAACCCCCATGCCCAAATGTCAGCCCAAGACATGTTGCTGAATGCTGCAGCCAAAGCAGCAAACTTACGAACGTCATGAGCACGGGGATAGACCGTAGGCTGGCTAGATTTAATAACTCTCCGGACGACCTGGGGAACCCGAGCCCTTGAACAGAGAACGTGGGAAACTTTATCAACCCAAAGTGCATCCCCAGCCACAGAAGCCGAGGCGCACAGACAACGGTGAAGAGCCGCAACCGGACATACTGTAATATATGATGCACCCCGGGCCTGACCCACCAAGCATCAATGACCCAAGGGCCCCTCTGGAAAGCCGTCATTGCGTTCTTCACCAGAGAAGAAGGAGACGGTAGCAACCGAACAAACTGAGTTCAAGACCGAAAGAGCAGAAACCCCTGAGCCGGAGGAGAGCATGAAGAGAGCTCACCAACCCGAACCCCAGAGAGCCAATGCCAACAGAAACAGCGCCATGGAAAATAAATCCTGAACCCAAGGACCAGGATTGCTCAGGCGGCACATGAGCAAGCCGGAGGCGAGACAAAGCATGAGAAAGCTTATGGAACAGGGCGGAGGTGACATCCACCCTGGACACAAGATGGAGCGGCTCAGCCAGCATCACACGATAAGAGCAGACAATATTTTGCATCAAATGACGGTCCTGAGAAAGCCTGGAAAGAAAGGACAAAACAACCTGATCAGAAATAAAAGACGAAGAGAGAGAGGAAATGGCAAAAAGAACACCAGGAAACTCCATACTGTCACCGAGATGAAGCTCGCAGGTGGGACACCATCAAAGAAGCCACCTGATCACCACACAAGTGGTGATACACCCACGTAAAAAAAAACAGACACGAAGAGCAGAGGCGTAGACTGAACTAGCCATGTACTGGACCAGTCCAATCTGCTGGAAGAGGCGGAACTGCAGAAAACACTTGGTTCAGACACTGAACAGCGCCTGAAACCAAGGCTGGGTCAGCCACCAAGGGGCCAGAAGGACAATTCTCCCGCAATAAGACTCCAAATGAGCCAGAACCCAAAGCAACACCTGGACTGGGGTGAAGAGGTACAGGTAACTCCACCTCAACCAGTCATGCCACAACACGTCAACTGCAATGGCTTCACAGTTGGGAAAAGGCGCCACATATGTCGAGAGACGCAGAAACCACACCAACACGAACAGGTCCACCTCTGGTGGACCTCACCCTGGCCAGCCTGGCGAGCAGTGGGCACAAAGCCCCAGCCGAGAGACAAGGCATCCATGAACACGTTGAGCAAGAGCTCGGGTAGGCACCAAGGCACTGAACTCCTAAAAACTCAAAGAGGAAGCCGCCAACGCAACAACTGACATAAGGCCCCTGGAGACCGAACCCGGCGATCGAGAGAGCGAGACGTGGAAGAGACGTCCCCGAATTTGCCTAAACAGACATCGAAGCCAGCCCCATCCCATCAGGTAAACCAGCACAGCGAAGTTCAGACTCCCGCACAGCTGCTGTGGTCTTCCAGGCGACAGTATGCAGTCTCTTGGCGGTTTTTCCATCAGTTCCTTTCTCTTCGGTGGTTTTCTTTGCTTTCAGACCAGTTTCTTTTGTCCTTTCTCTTTTGGCTCTTTTTGGGACATGAGACTGACATCTCATGCCGAATACTGTTACTGTACTGTAGAAGCTCGCTAATCTGGAATTCGCCAATCCGGAAAATGCCCTAATTGGGCCAAAATGTCCATGGAAGCCAGACTAGCAGATAGTATAGTTGGCCAGATCAGTTGCCTAACATTCATTGTACACCACCACCAGGAAGGGAGGGAGTCACCCCTCACTGCTACTCACTTCCTTTGTCCTGCCCACTCCCTCCCTACATCCCTCCCTCCCTCCTCAAGAGATCCTTCTGTAGGTTGCAGTAGATTGCCAGCCTGGAGAATTTCCATCTAATACAATAAAGCATTCAAGAAACAAGTATTTTTATAATTTTTTATTATCCTAATAATATTGCTAAACAAAATCTGTAACCAAAAATATATATGATCATGTACATCCAGGGAGCACATTCCATAACATGGCATTTATTCACATTAAATTCCATTTGCCAAGTGGTGCTCCATATACTTATTTTGTCCAGGTCTTCTTGAAGGGCATGATAGTCATCTAGGTTTCTTATCTTCCCTATTATCTTAGCATCATCAGTAAACATGTTCATATAATTCTGCATTCCATCTGGTAGATCATTTATGTAGACTTGTGCAACACGTGGGTGTTGATATGCTTTACGATGACTGTAAGATATGCGCCTTAAGTTCTGTTAAATCCCATTTTATTTTCTTGTAAATATTTAAATTACTAAATAGCAAACCAAATACTGTACTCTTCAAATATTATAGTGTGTTATTTAATATTCGTAACTAGCTCTCCACGGTAATAAGAAAACCATATACAGTAATTCTTGCAACACCTCCAATGCCACCTTCCTTCGATGGGCTTAACCACTTAACTGCGCCAACCAAGTATTCTCAGTCGGCGGGAAACTGCGCCAACCAAGAAAACTTTTTGATTCTTCCATACCCATTCTGAATGTGTGAGAGGTTGGTTGTGTACAAAATGGACTCTTAGGACCTCAAGTGAAAGGCAATCATCTTGGAAAGAATTCCCAAAATGCCCTAGGGCTGCTGGCTGGGTTAGTACTGAGTGAGCAACAATGGGTGGTGCGCGCCCTCTGGCTCCCAATCACCTGTCTGATGCGGTGTTGAAAGATAACGCTCTGTCGGTAAACAGAGACGTGGAAGAGACGTCCCCGAATTTGCCTAAACAAATTTGCCATGTCACATATGTCCGACATATGTGGCGCCTTTTCCCAACTATGAAGCCATTGCAGTCGACGAGTTGTGGCATGACTTGTTGCGGTGGAGTTACCTGTACCTCTTCATCCCCGGTCCAGCTGTTGCTTCGGGTTCTGGCTCATTTGGAGTCTTACTGTGGGAGAGTTGTCCTTCTGGCCCCTTGGTGGCTGACCCAGCCTTGGTTTCAGGCGCTGCTCAGTGTCTGAACCAGGTGTTTTCCGCAGCTCCGCCTCTTCCAGCAGATCGGACTGGTCCAGTATATGGCTGGTTCAGTCATTGCCTCTGCTCTTCGAGTCTGTTTTTTTTTACGTGGGTGTATCACCACTTGTGTGGTGATCAGGTGGCTTCTATGATGGTGTCCCACCTGCGAGCTTCATCTCGGTGACAGTATGGAGTTTCCTGGTGTTCTTTTTGCCATTTCCTCTCTCTCTCTTCGTCTTTTTTTTCTGATCAGGTTGTTTTGTTCTTTCTTTCAAGGCTTTCTCAGGACTGTCATTTCATGCAAAATATTGTCTGCTCTTATCGTGTGATGCTGGCTGAGCCGCTCCATCTTGTGTTCAGAGTGGATGTCACTTCCGCCCCATTCCGTAAGCTTTCTCATGCTTTGTCTCACCTCCGGCCTGCTCATGTGCTGCATGAGCAATCCTGGCCCTCGGGTTCAGGATTTATTTTCCATGGCGCTGTTTTTGTTGGCATTGGCTCTCTGGGGTTCGGGTTGGTGAGCTTCATGAACCTCCGACTCAGGGGTTTCTGCTCTTTTGGTCCTGAACTCGGTTTGTTCGGTTGCTGCCGTCTCCTTCTCTGGCGAAGAACGCAATGGCGGCTTTACAGAGGGGCCCTTGGGTCATTGATGCTTGATGGGTCAGGCTCGGGGTGCATCATATATTATGTCCGGTTGCGACTCTTCACCGTTATCTGTGCGCCTCGGCTTCTGTGGCTGGGGATGCACTTTGGGTTGATAAAGTTTCCCACGTTCTCTGTTAAAGGGCTCGGGTTCCCCAGGTCGTCCGGAGAGTTATTAAATCTAGCCAGCCTACGGTCTATCCCCGTGCTCATGACGTTCGTAAGTTTGCTGCTTTGGCTGCAGCATTCAGCAACATGTCTTGGGCTGACATTTGGGCATGGGGGTTTTGGAGGTCAAACAGGGTCTTGGCCGCTCATTATTTGGTAAACGTTCCTGGTCCCGGTTGTTCTTGTATGGCTTTGCGTTGCAGGTTGCAGCCAGTTGTGTCGACATCGAATTGATGAGTACGTGGTGGCTGCCTCGCAGGTAAGTCCCTCTTTTACTTGTCTTTGGTTAGGTAGCTTCAGCGAGTGGAAGGGGTTCCCCACAGAAAACCAGCGTTGGATGTAATGAAACGCCATTTTCTGGGTGAGTACTGGAGGCTCTCCGGCAACCCTCCCTCCCTCTGGTCGACGTTTTTTTCACATATTTTTTAAATCCAGCCTCAGAACTGCAGGGTGGATTGCCGGCACGGGGGTCTGGGGCTCCTCCTTTCCCCTCCCGGGGAGGGGGAAGCTGCGCAGATATGAGGTGCAGCACGTGTGATGTCATGCTCGTTTGCTCATTTGCTCGTTTTCATTTGGGGAGTTCTGTCCACTTGTTTGTCTATTTTAGCAGTTTTCACCAGAACAGGAGGTTGTTTTGAGGCACTTATCATACTGGTTGCCTGTTCTGGTCGATGGCAGATATAGAATGCTCCAAATCCCATGTACAATTGGAACTGGAACTGCAGAAGGGAAAACTCTCCAGCTTTTCATTATATTCAAGTACTGTACAGGTATTGAATAAAATTAAACCAATTTCTGGAGGAGCCCCGGTGGCCCTGCCACCCTCCGGGTTCATCGTGAATTTCTTCTTCAGATCCAGAACTGACTTAGGGAGCCAGTTGGGAGCCAAGCCACCTGGTGGTGATTATTGGTACTAATGAGTTTCAAGCTCGTTTGAGTGAATCTCCTGGTTCCGTGTGACTCGTTTGCAAATATTGTTTAGCAGTTTTCAAGGCTTCATTTTCTGTGAACCCTCCAATTGTCTGTAAAGTTGTGTTGACTTTGAAGAGGCTTTTTCTGATGGATTGTTAACTGCTCCCTGTGCCTCTTATGATGGGGGACTGGTTCTGGCTCTGCTCCTCGATAGGCCAAACAGAACTATCTGCAAATGATGTGACCTGATGTAGCTCTCATCTACAGGATGAGAGCTACACTCCTGGTGTCCCATCTACCCAGCACTCTTTGTCATATAATGCTTTGAAATTACTGACGGTTTTGGCCTCCACCACCTTCTCACCTAGCTTGTTCCAACCGTCAACCACTCTGTTTGCAAAAGTGAATTTTCTAGTATTTCTTTGGCATCTGTGTTTAGTTAGTTTAAATCCATGACCTCTTGTTCTTGAAGTTCCAGGTCTCAGGAAATTTTTCCTCCCTTCCTGACTTCCTTTCCAGACTCCCTCCCTTCCTGACTCCCTCCCTTCCCTGACTCCATCCCTTCCCTGACTCCATACCTTCCTGACTCCCTCCCTGACTCCCTCCCTTCCTGACTCCCTCCCTTCCTGACCCCCTCACTCCCTTCCTGACTCCCTCCCTTCCTGGTGGTGGTGTACAAGTGTTAGGCCGGACGTTTCACTTGTTTTTATCTCTCGGTGGTAAAGGTTCACATTTTATATTCAGCGGCAAGTCGACCTTTGGTTTTGGAATGATTATTAGGCTTCAAATTCTCTATCAGTACTGTATATGATGATCTGGACAAATATCTGGTCGTCCAGCTTTTATGGACATTCTGTCCAGATAGGGATATAACATTATCTGGACATGATTTTTGACGGATTAGGACATTTTCCAGATCGGCAGGCTTCGGATTAGCGAACTTCTACAGTACCATATACAGAAAAAAGCTTGGATACAAGAGATCTTCCTGAAGCACTTAGATCAGCAGATATAGTTGATACTCCAGATATAGCTGATACAACACACTGGAGTGAAAGATATGGGAGGAAATGCAGAACAGAACCAGAGAAGAGTAGTTAAGGACAATAGGTATAACCAGAGAGTACTGTATGAATATCATAGGTACATAATTGTTCAAATCGCTCCCAGCAAACATTAGAAATATTACTGGAACAAAAATGGATGTCTTCAAGAAGCAATTAAACAAGTTTCTTCAAGAAGTGCTGAACCAACCAGGTTGTAGTGGATATGTGGGAGTGCTGGCCCAACAAGGCCTGTTGGACCTTGTTTTCACAAGTCGAGCCTGGCTCCAGGCCGAGCTCAGGGAGTAGAAGAACTTCTGAAACCCTCTCCAGGTATGCTCCAGGGTGGAGGTGAGGACACTGTAACATTAAGGTGGATATGAGGACGCTGTAACATTAAAGGGGGAAGGTAAGGATACAGCAACATCAGGGTGAAGATGAGGACACTATACACTACACTACACGATTTGAACATGAACAGATAATTTTGAACATGAACAATGAACATGAACACGATTTGTTCCTATGTACACTATAACATTATGAAGGAGGTAAGGACACTGTAACATTAGGGTGGAGGTGAGACCATTGCAATCTTAGGGTGAAGGTGAGGACACTGTAACATTATGGTGGTGAGGACACTGTAATATCAGGGTGGAAGTGAGGACACTGTAACAGTAGGGTGGAGGTGAGGACACTGTAACAGTAGGGTGGAGGTGAGGACACTGTAACAGTAGGGTGGAGGTGAGGACACTGTAACAGTAGGGATGGAGGTGAGGACACTGTAACAGTAGGGTGGAGGTGAGGACACTGTAACAGTAGGGTGGAGGTGAGGACACTGTAACAGTAGGGTGGAGGTGAGGACACTGTAACAGTAGGGATGGAGGTGAGGACACTGTAACAGTAGGGTGGAGGTGAGGACACTGTAACAGTAGGGTGGAGGTGAGGACACTGTAACAGTAGGGTGGAGGTGAGGACACTGTAACAGTACGGTGGAGGTGAGGGCACTGTAACAGTAGGGTGGAGGTGAGGACACTGTAACAGTAGGGTGGAGGTGAGGACACTGTAACAGTACGGTGGAGGTGAGGACACTGTAACAGTAGGGTGGAGGTGAGGACACTGTAACAGTAGGGTGGAGGTGAGGACACTGTAACAGTAGGGTGGAGGTGAGGACACTGTAACAGTAGGGTGGAGGTGAGGACACTGTAACAGTACGGTGGAGGTGAGGACACTGTAACAGTAGGGTGGAGGTGAGGACACTGTAACAGTAGGGTGGAGGTGAGGACACTGTAACAGTAGGGTGGAGGTGAGGACACTGTAACAGTAGGGTGGAGGTGAGGACACTGTAACAGTAGGGTGGAGGTGAGAACACTCTAACTTTAGGGAAGTGGACACACACGCTCTACATTTTCTCCAGTCTTAACCCTCTTATTTTGAATAATATATAGAATACAATCCTAAATACCCTCCATCTTTGACTAAGTGTTACAAAATTCACCCTTAACATTGATAAAGCCTTCTATATTTTGTTTGGTTTATTTTGATCCACTGATTAAATTAACTTGAGAATTATCAATATCCAAATTAGAAACAGAGTGGATGGTAAACTCCTTGGTGTTCTCATCGATAACAAGTTGAATTTCAGTATCATATATATATTAAATATAGCAAAAGAAAATTCTAAAACAGTTGGCATTCTCACTAGAAACAAATATCTATTAGATTTTCCATGAGTGCGGCTTAACCAAAGCATAACTGCTCCGCAAATCGAGAGTCCCAAAATGTGATAGGACCTCCCAAATCACATCAAGAACTGTCCCTCTCTCAACCAGTTTAAAATAGAAACACAGAACTATTTGATACACTCTATGTAACCTACATTACTATCTAAATATCAAACTATGTTCTGGTGCCATTGAATTTAACTACTGAACATGTACTACTGCTGTTATCTGCCATGTAAAAATTTAATAAAAAAATTATCTGTTTATGCTGTAAAATAAATATGTTCTGTAGCAATTTTTGCTGTTTCAATCATTTAATCATTGTCATTTTATTTTTATTTCTCTACTTTAATTCATTATTGTTCTTTTAACAATCCCTGTGGCGTAGTGGTAAGACACTCGGCCGGCACTTCGTCGAGCGCTTTGGCTTGGGTTCGTATCCTGGCCATGGAGGATTGACTGGGCGCCAATCCTTAACTGTAGCCTCTGTTCACTCAGCAGTGAATGAATACCTGGTTGTTAAATGATTTGGTGGGTCATATTCTAGGGAAAATGAAATTAAGGACCTGCCCAAAACGCTATGCGTGCTAGTAGCTTTACAAGAATGTAAGAATTTTTTTATATATAAAATAAAAATTACATTTTTTTGTTATCTCATTTAGTTTCGTCTTTTAAGTTTTTTCCATATTATGCCCGAGTAGCTCTGCGTATTAGTGGCTTTAGGCATTGCACTTGCACTACTCATGATTCATACAATCGTCTTGTATCCTGTGTATGTACTTTTGCTTAAGTAAAAATTATTATTATTATTATTATTATTATTATTATTATTATTAATATTATTATTATTATTATTATTATTATATCTTGAAGGGGTACAGCATAGCCTGGTGGCCTAGAACGAAGCCTGCTCTTAAGCCCATTAGGATAGCCATAGCCATTTCACTAATACACCCAAATAAGTGTCTTATAGTACACACTTCAGCGTAAACCCCCGCTCTATGTGACATTCATCGTACCTATATATTAAATGCCTAATGTCAACTGCAGTGAAGAAGTGTAAACACAGAACAGCTATCCTTGCTGTTTGTTTACAAGGCAAAACTAGTCGAATGTTATTGCTCATAGTCTGTAGAATGAGCTTCTAAATACTAGATTTTCTCCTATAAAGAAATATTAATATTATATATTATCACAACAAATATCGTAATATATTTACTAACACAAAATTTTGGACATAACATTTAAATTAAAATATATATTGGCGAAAAACTATCCGATTCAAGTACGATTACTTTTGCAGTATTTCCCACCAGTTTATGTAGGGCGGGAACTTCAAAATAGTTTCCATTATTTATGTAGTGGAAAGAGACACATACACGAAAGAAAGGTGCAGCTAAATACGATCATCTGTACTAAGGTCAGGAGAGATTCAACATCGTAAACATCGTTTAGTGACAAACTGATGCTGTTGGCAGGCTAGAACTATTTAAGTCTCCGTGGTGTAGTGGTAAGACAATACAATACAATACAACACAATACAATTTTATTTAGGTAAGGTACATACATACAATAAATATTTACAAGGATTGTTTAACTTATAGGTATAGCTAGTACATACAATGCCTAAAGCCACTATTACGCAAAGCGTTTCGGGCATGATAAACTTAAATGACAAGCTTAATACTAATTGAGCATAATGAGTAGAATGAAAACAAGAAATGAAAACATAGATGAAAAAGCAGCACAAATACAATTATGTCGACAAACAGCGCTCTTTAAAGAAAAAAACAGACATTGGTTGACAATAGAAGGGTAAGGTAGGTTACAGGGAATTTATTAGGTATAGCTTCGCTTTTAACTTAAACTGGTTGAGAGAGGTACAGTCTTTAACATGGTTCGGAAGGTCATTCCACATTCTGGGCCCCTTGATTTGTAGAGCATTTCTAGTTTGATTAAGTCGTACTCTAGGAATATCAAAACTGTATTTATTTCTGGTGTGATGCTCATGGGTTCTGATACAACCTTCTATGAAGCTTTTGAGATCAGGATTGGCATTATAGTTTAGCGTTTTATATATGTATAATACACATGAGAGAATGTGCAGTGACTTAATGTCTAACATATTCAGAGATTTAAGTAGGGGTACCGAGTGATGTCTGGGGCCAGAATTGGATATTGTCCTAATAGCAGCTTTGTGTTGAGTAATTAGAGGACGTAAGTGATTTTGGGTAGTAGAACCCCAAGCACAAATACCATAGTTGAGATATGGATAGATAAGGGAGTAATAGAGAGTCACCAGGGCAGGGCGTGGTACATAATATCTGATCTTAGAAAGAATGCCCACAGTTTTTGAAACTTTTTTTGATATGTTTAGAATGTGTCCCTGGAAATTAAGCTTGTGGTCAATGAGAATGCCAAGGAATTTGCCATCTAATTTGTTACAAATTTGGGTATTGGAATTTGCCATCTAATTTGTTACAAATTTGGGTATTGGAAGACACTCGCCTGGCGTTCCGCGAGCGCTATGTCATGGGTTTGTATCCTGGCCGGGGAGGATTTACTGGGCGCAAATTCTTAACTGTAGCCTCTGTTTAACGCAACAGTAAAATGTGTACTTGGATGAAAAAACGATTCTTCGCGGCAGGGGATCGTATTCCAGGGACCTGCCCGAAACCCCTTGTAAGCCCCTTGTAAGCCCCTTGTAAGCTACCTTTTTTTTTTTTTTTTTTTGTTATTCATTTTGTGTTTGTTTTGTACAGTATTGTGTACATATTTTTCCCTATTTTATAGCTTATTTTAACCTTGTAATTTGCCTTTCTTTCCTTGTTTTTCCTGCAATCAGCTTTTTTTATGCAGACAAGTATAGACCCAGAACTTAACCTCTTATCCACTATCTATGACAATAATCACTTTAATGATCTAAATTGCAGATATTTTGCAGCACATGATGTAAACAATGTATTAACTCATAATCACAATATCTCTGTAATCAATTTGAACGTTAGATCCCTAGATAAACACTTCGATGATGTTAGTGCCTTGATTGAAACTATTGACAACAAATTCTCTTTTATTATACTTACTGAAACATGGTTGAAAGAGAATACTACTCAACTCTTTAACATGCCTAACTACTCAGCAATTCACAACTGTCGTCAACTTCAGAGAGGTGGTGGCACTGCTCTTTACTACCACCAAGAACTAACATGCTTAAAAGAAATTAGAACTAGAGACTGCTATGGGGAGTATATCTTCGCCAGCTTCAGAATCAAGGGTGCCGAGTCTGTCCTGTCTGTGGGTGCAGTTTATAGAATTCCTAACACTGATGTGTCCGAATTCAACTCAAACCTTAGAAATCTAATACTTGATAACAGACTGAACAAAAACCACCTAATTATCGCAGGGGACTTTAATATTGACCTCTGTGAGCCAGAACACCCTACTGCTGTTAGCTTCCTCAACTGTATGAATTCCTGCTTCCTCATACCCTTAATCACTAGACCTACTAGAATCACTGATAGCACTGCCACGACTCTAGATCACATCTGGACAAACATAACCTCTCCGCTTACTTCAGGTATAATCACCGATAGCACTACAGATCATTACCCCACATTTCTCTTAACTAA